GGTAGAGAGAGAGAGAGAGAGAGAGAGAGAGAGAGAGAGAGAGAGAGAGAGAGAGAGAGAGAGAGAGAGAGAGAGAGAGAATCGTGAGTCGTGTCGTCACGTGACCAACATTTCGGACGAGATCGTACGCAAAAGAAGAAGTCAAAGCTTACTATAAAAGGACATATGTAAACAAGTCCATGGCGCGTGTAGTATAACCTTGTATCTTGGATCGGCTGGGAAAAAAGTGATAAGAAAAACGCGAAAGTAGAGGTTTTTCGATTTTTCGATTTTTCGATTTTTCGATGGAGGAAGCAACGAATCGCCTTCGCTGCGTATAGTAGTACGTACCGTAGACTCGGTCGAAACGATCGACGATTCTTTCGAATCTCGTACATGGATAATACATCGAAAAACCATAAAACCACGTATCGATCGTTGTTTGCAATTGTCGCGTGGCCCTCGCACGCTCTTTTACGCTTCTACCATTGCACGAGACAAACGGTTTCCTTCGTTGGCCGTTACAGATCACGGACTATACGTGGATAGACTATAGACGTTTTTCCGAAACGGTCGAATAGGGAGGAACATTCTGGTAGGAACTGGTACCTTCGTTCGGACGAGCTCGGCGTGGATCGGTGTTTCTCGGCTGCTATCGAGTCACGTGGCTTTCGATACGTCTCCGTCCCACTCAAATATATTTAAGAAGCTCCGGCGCGCGGCGGTGCGGTGACAGTTTCGTTATCGAGTTTCTAAGGAACGAGCGCGCGGTTTTCGGTGTTCTCCGGCACCACCGTGAACGTTTGCTTTCGATCGAATAACTCTGTCGGGACAAGTGACAAGTGAGGAAGAAAGGAGGGCGGCGAACACGGAAAAAGGACAAATAGAAAAAGATATATAAAAGGAAACGGCGAACCGCCACGTTCTTGCGTCGTTGTTGCGTTCTTGCGTAACGCGAAAACCGTTGGAGGAGACACGTAGACGATAGTACGGAGAAGGCGGACGCAGGAGAGACGTTCCCTCGAAACGACTTTCTCGTATGTTCCGGTAATCTTTGACAGACTGCTAGAGACGCGAGAGTGTGCTGGCAGAGTACCACCCATTTAACCAAAAGTTTTTTCACCCGCGTTTTCGCGTTTCGTTAACCACGTCGTAGCGAGCTTGTCGACTGATTCCTTGAACCGACTAAATAGAGAGGCTTAATCTGCTGCAAAGTGCTGCTAACGACACGAAGGGCACGGTACGCGCGCCTAACCTCTCGCGAGCGTGCGATCGAAACCTAGAAGGTGGACGCGTTGTAGGACTGTCCAGAAAATGGACTCGTCCGTCGTCCTGGACAAAGCATCCGAATTCGGAGAACCGATCGATTTGGACCGTCCGTTCCGCGTAAGTGGTGTCAACATTTCTTTTTGTCTTTCTCAGTCGTTTCAAATTACAGAGGAACGAACGATCGTTGTTCGCTCGCGACACGACGCAAATATCAAAAGTCAAAAGTCAAAAGTCCAACGGATTTCGGCCGCGATCGGATCATTTTTTCTTTCTTTTCGTTTTTGTTCTACCAAGTGGATAGAATCTAGTTTAAGTCGCGCGCGCGTAGGACGTAGGCGACGGTTGTCCGTTCGCGAAGGACTATTCACGGTTCACGGTTCACGGTTCACGGTTCACGGTTGACAGCTCGTACACCAGCGATCGTAACGCTCCCGCGACGCGACATCGAACACCGAAGGTGTACCTCGAATTACGCGACGGCGAGTCGATACGATACAGCCGTTCGCGCCGAGACTTTTCCAGATTCTTCGAGATTAGGAATTATATTCGCGTTCGTCGGCTTGGCATTCGCATCTCGTATTTTCTTACTTTCAAACTACCTATTTGTTTTTTCCTCTTCGTCCATTGGTCCACGGCATGCGTCCAAAGGCTATCTCGATTCGAAGCTTTGTTCGCAAAATCGTTTCGTACATACGCATACGTATTCGCGAAGGATATCGACGAATCGGACTTGGGTGTCCGGACTCTGGCATCGTTGTCCACTTTCCCAAAAGCTAGCGTTATCGAGAGGTTAACGTTTTCGACGGTCGCGTTCGACCTTTCCTTTACCGCGCCTGTTACACCGCTCGAACCCGAAATTGTGAGATCACGGGCTCGCGTGCAAGTTCGAAATAGAATTTGCGAGGAATTACGTGTTTTCCGTTAGCGCGGAACACGCGAGTTCGACCGGTCGCGAGAACGATTCTCTCTTCGCGCTTTCGAGAACCCCGATATTCGAAAACCGACGAAAACTCGATCGAATCCGTTCGTCGACGATAAAACCAAGTTTCTTCGACGTCCGCCGTAGGCAGCGGATAATACTCGGAGAGTGGTTTTTTTTTCTGCTCGAACGAGAGGCACGTTCCTCGGAAACAGAAACGTTGTCGACGCTAATAATAATCTAACCGAGCGTTTCTCCTCGGCAACTCGGGCCACGGAGAATACGCCGCGCGACGCGATCCCTCCTCGATCGCTCGAGAAAAGGAGCTAAAGGGAAAAAGAATCTGCGAAGGTAACATAATCGCGCGCTTCGTTTCTTCCGTTTAGCCGTATTTGGCTCGATACGGCGCGTAGCAGCGACTGCTAGCGACGACTGGTAGCGACGCGCGTCCTGCTAAACGAACGTTGCCTCTGGTTCGCTTTTTCGTTTGGAATCGTTTGCGTTGTACTCGCGAATCGCGAGTAAGGGAAATAATCGCGTAAAAGGGAAATAGAAATCGAGAAATAGGTCCGATTCTTTCTTGTTCGCGCACGCCGGAGCGTGTCGGAGCGTGTCGGCGCGTGCCTCGAGACGGAAGATAACGCGATATTTTTGCGAGTGATCTAATCGCTGGTTCGGTCTCGCGAAGAAAAAGAAACCGGTTCCTAGCAAACGATAGCGATTTCGCGATCGTGCTTCGAGGCGACCGATATCGCGCGTGGGTGTCATATTAGTTCCGCGACGATGGAACGCGGGAAGGCACGGGAACCGAGAACGGGCGAATGGAATCGGCGTTCGCAACGCCATAGTTTTTCGTCGATAGTTTTCTACGCTCGCTCCCTGTACGCTCACTCTCTCGTCGACGTCGACGTCGACGTCGACGTCCACGCGTCGAATCACCTCGGAACCGACGAGCGGGGAAACAGGGAAACGAATAAACAACGATCGCTCCCCGCAGGCCCGATTCCAAAGACCGTGACACAGTTTCCCCGAGGATCTGCTCGTTTCGCCGGAAGAAGCCCGGCTGACATTCACCCAGTTTGCTCGGTTCACGGCTGACCGTAGCTGCTCCGATGGGTTTTTGCCTGCTGCTCGATTTGGTTTCTCCTTGGATACGTTACGCGTTCTCGCGTTCTCGCGTTCCGATCCGGGAACCAAAAATACACGCTGCGACGCGACCGAACGACCGTGCTACCGAAACGATCGACCCGAACGGCGGACGAATCGATTCGAACGCGCACGGTAATCGCGAACGTCGCGAGACCACGCATAGACGCGCGCCTTCGATTCTCCGATTCGACGCTCCGAGTCATCTCGATCGTTCTCCGCCGTCGAGTTGTTTCGAATCCGGGCCTTATTCGGCTAGACTAACAAATTCCGTTGCGTCCCTATCGAACGAACAATGAGAATTGCGATTGCTGCTGCTGCTGTCGCTGTTGCTGTTGCTGTTGCTGTTGCTGTTGCTGTTTGCTGTTGCTTCGATCGCGGTAGAAAGCACCGCTGCCGAAATCCTTCCCACACGCTTTCTCGCGCTCTCTTTCGTCAAGGTTAAATTCGTTCGTAACTCGGCTGGTCGTAGTTTCATCGGAAGCCGATACGAGAACCTTCGAAACGTTACAAGGGGGTTCACAGACTCGTGAATTGTCACTATTATTTCCGGACGCAAAGTCTCGGCCGGTTCGACCGAATTACTCGAGCGTGGGTGAACGGGGAATACATAGGCGTGTCGCGAGTGCGTGCATGCGCCGACACCTATATATAGTTTTCTCGTGACGCGAAACCCGTAATATACGGCGTCGGAAGAAGTTCGCCTACTCGGATCGGTTGTAAAACGAGTCGGAACTATAGGAAGCGGCGATCGTCTTCCTTCCCCTATAAAATCGATTCTTCCCGAATCTGCCCGATTCGTCGGAATTTTTGGAAATCGAAACAACTTGCCGCGCCTATGGCTAGCCCACAAGCTCGATTCTCTGTAATTTTCGGGATTCTCTGGATTCTCTGGATTCTCTGGATTCTCTGGATTTTCGAGATTCGCCGATACGCGACACGATGCGTAACTTGATATGTAACTCGGTGTTTCAGGGATTCCCGTTCGACGGCGAAGCTTTTGGTAAACGCAGCGACATTCGCGCTCATCTAGATCAGTTGGCTGCTCGACATCCGGAATTCGCGGATCACTTGCTCGGCCCGGCTTGGGGCGACATACCCTTCCACGGCTCGCTACGCCATCGAAATCGCGGCTCTGGCTCCGGCTCCGGCACTGGAAACTGCGCGAACAACAATTATCAAGGGTATTCGGACGAGGACGCGAGGTCGCAGGCGAGCGGGAGTAGCGCGGCGAGCGGAGCCAGCGCTGTCAGCTCTCACAGCGAAGCGGAAGGGAGCCAAGACCATCGAAATCATCGGAACGATCGGAACCATCGGTATCATCAGAATCAGCAGAACCAACAGAATCAGCAGGTTCGGAAAAAATCGCGAGATAGATCGGACAGCGAACAACAAGAACCCGCGGGAAGAACCCAGATCCCGCAGTACGGATTTCGCAACACCGTCGACATAGGCCAACACCGGCACAACATGGAGAATCCGGACAAAGGGTACCGTGGTCAACGGTCCATGTCCGCTCCGCCGGAGAACAGACAACAATCTCGCGAGCAGCAACCCCAACAGTGCTATCACAATTGTCAGCAACAATCACAGCCACAGGGACAAAGATACGTTTCGAGGATAGATATAACGCCTCAACATAATCAGCCTCGGTCACAGCCTCGATCGCAGCCCCAGTCGCAGCCCCAGTCGCAGCCCCAGTCGCAGCCCCAGTCGCAGCCTCAATCGCAGCAGCAGGCCAACGTCAGGCACATACCGATTTTCGTCGAAGGCAGAGACGAGCCGGTTTTGCCCAGAAGCTTCGACGAGCCGTTCGGAAGAGAAACTTCTCCCACACAGTTCCACGCGACTCCTCATTTTCAGAGGTCGTCGCCGTTCGGGCAATCTCCTTTCGCGAGATCGTCCCATCAATGGTCTCCGCATTTCGAGGATCCGTTCTATCCGACCCAAGCTAGTTACGAGCAACCTTCGCGCAAACAACAACAGACCGACGGCTACCAGCATCCCCGACAGCAACAGCACCAATCGTACGAAAAGCATCAACCCCATCCGCAAGAACAACCGCAGCAATATCAGCAACAACAACAACAACAACAAGAACCACCGACGACAAAAGCTAAACCCGTCGTGCCAAAGGATCCTTTGGAGAGGGTAGCCATGGTTCAGAGGGAAGTCGATTCCCTCGCGGAACAAGTGAAACTATATAAAGGCGACTCGAGAAAAGACAAAGAATATATTTACCTCGACGAAATGCTGACCAGAGAGCTGATCAAGCTCGACGATATCGAAACGGAAGGCAGAGAGAACGTTAGACAAGCGCGAAAGAACGCGATAAAGACTATACAGGAAACGATCGGTTTGCTGGAGTCCAAAGCTCCCCTCGCGTCGTCGCAGCCGGCTACGCCGCAAGCAATGCCCGACGACGATACCGCGATTCCGGCGCCCGCCTTCCAGCCAGAATCCATGGACGTGGATCGGAAACCGGAAGAACGAGATTGGACCAACGAACCGATTCCGCTGCCCCCCGGTCCCTCGACCTCCGTAAACAAACCCGCGGGCATCGTCGAGGAGGAGGAGGAGAAGAAGACCGACGCGGAACAACGGTCGTCGAATTCGACGGCCATCGCCGACGAGCACGCTTCCGCCGAGTCGATGGATACCACTGTCGCCGCCGCCGCAGCCGCCGCCGCCGCGGTCTCTGTCGCGGAAAGAACCGGACCGGAGGAGAAAACGGTTGAGAAATCCGCGGAACAGACTCCGATGGACGTGCAGGAGAATTCGGAACAGCCGAACTTGGAAGACGAGAGGACGCTTCCCGAGGGGAACGGACAGCAGCGGGACAACGTATCGGACGAGAAGAAAACGGAGAACGATTCGAGTTCGAGAACGTTGCACGTGCCGCGAGAGGAGAAACCGTCCGATCGAGAAGCGATCGTCCTCGAGTCGGACGACGTCGTGCACCGAGAGAAGACGATCGCGCGACAACCTCCCGCGGACGACTCCGAGAAAATGGTAGTGGACGCGACCGCGAAACAGTCCCCGAAAACTACCAAGAAGGGAAAGAAATCGAAGAAACAGCCGGTCGTTGTTCCAGTTTCGAATACACCGATACCGTTACCGCCTCCGCAAAACACCGAAACGAACGCGAAGTAGAGGAGAAAACGTCGAGTGTTCCATATTTCCGGAATATTTCGCATCGTAATCTGCCGCAGTTCGTTCGGTGAATCCGGCAAATCGACGAATCCGCGATCGGCGCTCGATTTCGTGTCGCCGACGCTCGAGCACCCGTGGAACATGATTCCGATTCGCGGACTACGAACGCGGCGTGTTGCCCGAGGAAAGAGAATCGTCCTACCGTTTCGCCGGTAGACGTGCCTTATTCGCGCTAGTTTTTCCGTCTCTTCGATCGTTACCGCCGATTTGTACCGATCGTTACCGCCGTCGTGGATCGACGTGTTTCCAAAGTCGACCGTGTAATCGGTTCTCGTTCATCCGTAAGAAAACATTCTTCGACTGTGAATCATCTTTTCGTTCGTTTCTTTTTATTACCACTGTACGTGCTACTATTTGCATTTCGATGATCTTATTCCTCGCGGAACCGTATCTATCGGTAGCGATCCAGTGTGTCGGCGAGACCGACGCGAGTCGCGACCGTGAGCGAAAACAACGACGATAACAAGGAAAAAGAACGGGGAAAGGTGACGGAAAGAAACAAACGGAAAACAGAGAAACAGCACAGAGCCAGTCTCGATCTCGATCTCGATCTCGATCTCGATCGGCCAAATTCGACTCCGCGCCAAGTATCGGTTTCTTCAACTCCGAAAGTGTTCTTGTATCTTCTTTCGTTTTTACTTTTCAATGATTTGTTCCGGCGTTTCGACTCGCAACAATGATCGAACGCGAAATCTCGCGAAGAATGTTCTGCCGACGAGTCCGGATGTCGACGAACCGCGAACGCGTTGAAATCGCTCGAGTCGTTGAAATCGCCAGGGATACGTACTGCCCGTCCCCGAGAAAACGGCACATGGAAAACTTGTAGGCTCGTAGGAATCTCTATCTCCCATCACCCGGTGTAATTCCATCTCTTTATTGTACACGGGCTATACCTAAATGTATACGCCCTCCGCTGTCGGAATCGGTGCCGTCTTATCGCGGACGGTCTGTGTCTATATACGTTGACGAGCGGTATCGGCCCGTTTCTAATAGTATTACAGCGCGAAGTTCGATTACCTAACTTTAATATAATTATTATCGTAGTTATCTTATTATATTGTTATTATTATTTATAATTTATTGAAGATCCGCTTGCGCCGAGTATACATTTATTGCCCAGTCTCGTGAACGGAACGCTACTCGCGTATACGAACCGTGTATATATGTATTGTTAGGATCTTATGTTCTCGACCTATGAGAAACGATGCATCCCGTACGAGTCGTTCTCAACGTTGATAAAAAAAACATCATTTTACCACGTTCGTGGCAAGTTTTCTTTTTAATTCGACGTTGTATATCGGGCTGCATCGTCTTATGGTTCCTTATTCAGGGTGATACTCATTATTATTTTCAACACTTGTTGTTTTCTTTCATTTTCTTTTCTTTTCTTTTCTTTTATTTTCTTTTCCGAACAATTTTGTTTAGATATTTGTAGCGATTGCGTGCTTAAGAGTCAAAATTTTTCTATCTTTTTTGACCAAAAGCGTGAATGTCCGAAGAATACGAAATAGTAAAAAGTGAGAGAACAGAAGGAAGGCAGATAGATAGATTGAGAGAGAGAGAGAGAGAGAGAGAGAGAGAGACTGTGTCACAAAAACGAGAGACGAAGTGAATCGATAGGCATCTACATATACAGAGAAGCTAAGTGTTAGGAGATTGTATAAATACAAGGTGAGAATGTAATTATTTTATGAACAAACGCATTCAATGAAAATATAGTATTTAATCTTTGAATCCGTAATGAAATACGGTTTACCCTTCCATCCACTTTGAATGTCCCATTCGATGAAACTCGAAAATTGCGCAAACCTGTAAATGCGCGTACGCGTTACTCGACAAAAGCGCTTTGTAAATGGAAAAGTAAGGGATCGAATTCGGCAATTTCCTTGTCAATTTCCCTCGGCGAAGAACGTTGCCGCATGTTCGTCTTAATCAATTGAAATGAAAATATTCCGTGTAACGTAACGTATCTCGTTCTTGATACTTTTATATCTGATGCGAAAAACCTGAAATCGGAACGAGAAAGCATCTACGCTTTGTCAGCCTGCGATACGAACGTCGTCGAAAACTTGGCACGGTCCATGCATGCGAGTTGCGAGTCGTCTAAAAATAGAAGGCTGGTTAGATTTTGAGAAGAGCAAATTTTTGCGTCACGGCGCGGCGCCGACTAGCCGACCGAAGCCGAAGACTACCTCTGGGAAATCCCAGCGAAGATGTCGGTGGAACGTCTCTTACCGGCATCTATAGAGAACCTCCTGGTTCCACTCGCGAAAGGTAAGTGGAAACTCTATCATGGATTTAACTTAAAGGAGGAATAAATAGATAATCTATGTTGTTACAGCAAAAGCATGCCTATTTATTAATTAGATCGCGTCGATCGATAACATTATAAAACCATTTTTCAATAAGTATATATAGACCTATCGGTCGTAGCTTCCAACTATTACGACTCGATAGAATTTATCCTATTAGTCGTGTGTTCGTACCGTTCGAACACTTGTAAGCGGTACCGTATGTGTGTGTGCGCGCGCGCATATTCGTGCACCTATATATACGTATGTGTGAATACGCATGAAATGCTAGAGATGCTGTGGAAATACATGAAACGCTTCTATCTCGATGATAATATCTCTATTACCGCAATCGAATACTTATAACCGACTCTACTTGTGAACTTTTCGCGACCATTTCTAGTTGGTAATCGAACGTTCAAATTGCACTTTGTTACTAGCCTTGAGAAGCATTTTCTTTCAAACATTTCTATCCTGTAGAGTACGATGATATTGTGCTTTTTCAATTACAGCGAGTTCGCGGCCTTCGCACGGGACGATTAAAATTACCGTTGGTACTTGAACGTTACCCTAAATTTTCTGTCCGATCGCACGTAACGCGCATACGCTTCTACTCGTTGCACTCTTCTTCTTCTTCTTCTTCTTCTTCTTCTTCTTATTCGACTTTCCTACTCCTATCGGTATGCTTTGGTGCCTCCATTCACATTTTTACTTACAATACTCTTGCATCGACTCGTTGCTTATCTACAGGCTTCGTATCTTTTTATGCTTCTTCATTTCAGATTCGTCGTGATTATTTTCGTAGCATGCGGAACAATAAAGATCGCCGTAACAACCCAAGCATTTCTCTAGGTTTCGACTCTCATCGCACATAACGCATGTAGGCTTCTCTTCGTCTTCGTCCTTTGCCTCCTTGTCTTCCTTATAAACACGCTTGGATGTCTACAATCGTAAGATTAACAGAACGATCAACCATTTATTTACTTTCTTCGAGATCCAAAGAAATCAAGATTATTCCATACATCGACTTCCATGTCCTCCAATTCATCTATATCTTCTTCGTATTGTTTCTCTAGGGCTGCTTCTGCCAGAGCTTTCGCGATCAATTTTTTCGTTATTCGTGTCTCCTCGTCGTTACCGTCGTCGTCGTCGTCGTCGTCGTCGGTAATTTCGTCCGAATGCTAAAACGCCACAAAACTTGTAATATAATATAGAGACCGACGAAAATTATAATTCCTTCAAAAGACGTTTACTCTTTCGTGTATGTTGCTCAAACCCCGCAGAGATCTCAGTCTCGAATGAATTTCACTAATAGGGTCGCTACCTGACGTTAATTCCAACTGGTTCAAATATTCCTGTATCAAATCGTCGGTTTTCTGTTGGTCCGTTCTAAGGTCCACTAAATGTATCTAGGAACGATAAAGTTGCTGTACGTTAAATAGTTTAACGAGACAATTCGGTATGCATTTTCTATCGTGAAGCTCACATTTGTTTTGCTGTTACCAGCACCGCCAGGATCTTCGTCTTTCAATAATGCAAGTCTTTTCCTTATTTCGTCGACGCTCAAAGCTGAACTTTTGTCTTTCTCTTTTAATTTTCTTAATCTATCTACTATCACTTGGTCGACAGGTTCTAAACCGCTCTTGAATTTGTCCCAGTGATTGGCATGTTTGTACATTACGATGGGTGGCTTTGCTGGATTCTCCAACGAATCTAACCTAATGAACAAATTATTGTTTGTTGCACAAACACTGAAGATAAAACTACTGGAAAAGTAGGTATTGGTAGGTTACTTTTTAGTAATGTCCACCAGAGCAAGGGATTCCTCCTGCTCGTGCGACATGGCTGTACGATCCAAGGAATTCACTTTCTTCACGGAATTGTAATTGTTGTAACAACGTCCACAGACTTTTGCTACCCTTCCATCCGGAATGGTACATTTGTATTTCAGACACTTACCGCAGTGCGAATAACCACAACCTGGACAAGCAACCTAAATTCCATAACGATGAAACGAAAAGATGCGAAAATAAAATTGTGATAAACAGCATTCCAGGCTCGGATACGATGCGATTAAAAATTTCTGTAAGCTGATTCGTGAACGAAACCAATTCAACATAACCTACCACATAGTTCGATACAAAGGAAGATCGCTTACCTCCTTAGTAAAGAACGAGAATTTCGCTTGGCAAATGTTGCAAGACATACTGCATTAATTTTGTAAACGTGTTATCGTGATATCGTTGTCAACTGGACAAGTATTCTGGCCTGTTCTGGTTTGTTCTCTGCGGAAATTTCTGACGTATAAACCAACAAATACAGTACATATATAATTAGTACATAACATATACGTATGCACGTACATATATCTGCAAACTTGATTTCGAACGCAGTATGCACATGTACGTGCATACATAGATGTACGGATATGTGTATGGTGTATGTACTTGCTTGACTCCTGCCCGAATACAATGAATTATGTTTTACATCAGTGATGTAATGTCTAGCATCCAGTGTCCAAGTCCAGAGTGGCCAGACACTGCAATCACAGTTTGACCGTAGCGTAACGTAAATCAGAATCAGAATCAGAAACAGAAACAGAAACAGAAACAGAAACAGAAACAGAAACAGAAACAGAAACAGACTGCCAGACAGAGATNGGATGTCTACAATCGTAAGATTAACAGAACGATCAACCATTTATTTACTTTCTTCGAGATCCAAAGAAATCAAGATTATTCCATACATCGACTTCCATGTCCTCCAATTCATCTATATCTTCTTCGTATTGTTTCTCTAGGGCTGCTTCTGCCAGAGCTTTCGCGATCAATTTTTTCGTTATTCGTGTCTCCTCGTCGTTACCGTCGTCGTCGTCGTCGTCGTCGTCGGTAATTTCGTCCGAATGCTAAAACGCCACAAAACTTGTAATATAATATAGAGACCGACGAAAATTATAATTCCTTCAAAAGACGTTTACTCTTTCGTGTATGTTGCTCAAACCCCGCAGAGATCTCAGTCTCGAATGAATTTCACTAATAGGGTCGCTACCTGACGTTAATTCCAACTGGTTCAAATATTCCTGTATCAAATCGTCGGTTTTCTGTTGGTCCGTTCTAAGGTCCACTAAATGTATCTAGGAACGATAAAGTTGCTGTACGTTAAATAGTTTAACGAGACAATTCGGTATGCATTTTCTATCGTGAAGCTCACATTTGTTTTGCTGTTACCAGCACCGCCAGGATCTTCGTCTTTCAATAATGCAAGTCTTTTCCTTATTTCGTCGACGCTCAAAGCTGAACTTTTGTCTTTCTCTTTTAATTTTCTTAATCTATCTACTATCACTTGGTCGACAGGTTCTAAACCGCTCTTGAATTTGTCCCAGTGATTGGCATGTTTGTACATTACGATGGGTGGCTTTGCTGGATTCTCCAACGAATCTAACCTAATGAACAAATTATTGTTTGTTGCACAAACACTGAAGATAAAACTACTGGAAAAGTAGGTATTGGTAGGTTACTTTTTAGTAATGTCCACCAGAGCAAGGGATTCCTCCTGCTCGTGCGACATGGCTGTACGATCCAAGGAATTCACTTTCTTCACGGAATTGTAATTGTTGTAACAACGTCCACAGACTTTTGCTACCCTTCCATCCGGAATGGTACATTTGTATTTCAGACACTTACCGCAGTGCGAATAACCACAACCTGGACAAGCAACCTAAATTCCATAACGATGAAACGAAAAGATGCGAAAATAAAATTGTGATAAACAGCATTCCAGGCTCGGATACGATGCGATTAAAAATTTCTGTAAGCTGATTCGTGAACGAAACCAATTCAACATAACCTACCACATAGTTCGATACAAAGGAAGATCGCTTACCTCCTTAGTAAAGAACGAGAATTTCGCTTGGCAAATGTTGCAAGACATACTGCATTAATTTTGTAAACGTGTTATCGTGATATCGTTGTCAACTGGACAAGTATTCTGGCCTGTTCTGGTTTGTTCTCTGCGGAAATTTCTGACGTATAAACCAACAAATACAGTACATATATAATTAGTACATAACATATACGTATGCACNTTGTCAACTGGACAAGTATTCTGGCCTGTTCTGGTTTGTTCTCTGCGGAAATTTCTGACGTATAAACCAACAAATACAGTACATATATAATTAGTACATAACATATACGTATGCACGTACATATATCTGCAAACTTGATTTCGAACGCAGTATGCACATGTACGTGCATACATAGATGTACGGATATGTGTATGGTGTATGTACTTGCTTGACTCCTGCCCGAATACAATGAATTATGTTTTACATCAGTGATGTAATGTCTAGCATCCAGTGTCCAAGTCCAGAGTGGCCAGACACTGCAATCACAGTTTGACCGTAGCGTAACGTAAATCAGAATCAGAATCAGAAACAGAAACAGAAACAGAAACAGAAACAGAAACAGAAACAGAAACAGAAACAGACTGCCAGACAGAGATACAAAAAGATACAGAGATACAGACACGGAGAGTCAGGGTCAGGCTACGGTGTCGATAGCACTCGACACCGTACGACAGTGACTTGAGTGGCTCGAGGGTGCCATAAATTAACTCTCCCCTGGTCATTCTTTGCGACATCGGCAGCGTAGACTGCATAGAGCGTGATAGACAATCGTTACGAAGATCTTTGCACAAATTCTTCGTCTAATGCTTTGTGTTTTATTCGGTAAATATAAGATGGTTTTAAATAAACATTACACCTTCCTTTACAAGTATGTTCGAATAGAAAGAGATCAATTTTATTTTTTAATTTTAACTTTCATACAAATTTCATCAATGTGTGTGTGAAAACTACTAAATTTATTACTTTTATTTATGTTTCTTCTGTTCCACATGAAACATTTCAAATTCGTGGATCCCAAAGACAGAGTTTGTCACCGAAAATGTTGTCAACTGTCGGTAACTTGGCGAGCGTATGACGGAAACGCATGATCAACGGAAAACCTCGATCGTGTCGCATGCGCATACGTATTTAATTATGTACGTTAGTTGAATTGAAATTACATTTTAGAATTTCTATGAAAAAATTGGTGTGCAGTAGATATCATGTGATGCATGATAACTGGAAAGACGCATCTCGATAACGATGTAATGCAGGTTGTACGCAGCTGTAATGCCGCGGCGTATTGTCATAACTGTCAACAGTAGAATCAGGTTTTTACACCGTCGCGCGAATGCTTTGCATTTAGAGAACATCGACTGCCTAAATTTGTATCGTGGCTTATCGACAACAACATATTTGACGATAAATATGTTTTATTCGCATTACATAAATGAAGACTGTCGCAGTTAATGTGGCTCGGTCGTATTATCATTTCTTGGAGTGTTCTGGCTGTCGTTATCGTTGCATTCGCCAGAATAACTTAACCTCGAACGAAATATGTTTCCACCGAAAGATATTGCCAAGACGGATTACATTAGCTTAAATATTCAGGAAAGCGCAACTTTCGCACGCGGAACATCTCGCAGTCTTTGGAGGGTAAGCTACTCCGCAGAATATACTCCACAGTTTTCCAAATATTTGTTATCATTGACGTTTAAAAGAGTAAAATTTTATATTATGCGTCATTAATTCACCTTTGTTCCTTCTTGCAGCAATGGAATCAGTTGTCGAGGTTTCAAAGGAACATCCTTTACTTCGTAGTCATTACAATTATATTAATTATATTTTATTTGTTGCCTGGCGATAATAAGAATGGAATTTTGGACGAAAGCGATTACAACAACATAGAAGTAGCGCAAGATACTCTTAAATATGAAAAGGTAAGATTAGTACGATAACTCATTTTATCCGAGGCAAGAAGTATCATCGTTTCGTGTTACACAGAAATTTAAGCACCGACGAATTTCATAGGCAATAGAAGATATCGTAGTAGATAATCCGAACCAAGAACATAAAGATGGCGGAGAGGTTATAGAAGAACCTGACTTCCAGCCAGAAATAAACCAAGCGGACGACGATCAAATTGGAGAACCTCCGCAACCTAAGCCAAACGTGCTTAAATTCAATGGTGATAATGCGCTTTGTTGCGACAAGCGATCGTTATCTTATTTTTGTAAATGTGCTATTTTAACGATAATCTGTCTTAATTTTAGGCCCGCAAAACAGCAGGCAAAAGGCTATAGTTGCCGCATTTAAGTATTCGTGGAACGGATACAAGGAATACGCGTGGGGTCATGACACCGTAAAACCTATTTCTAGAAAATACCACGAATGGTTTGGTCTAGGACTCACTATAGTCGATTCCCTAGATACTATGTACATAATGGGTTTAAATAATGGTAAGCTCGAACGATATAAAGTGAACGCGCGCGCCGTTAATGTTTAATCTTTAATTCCACGATGCATTTCTTTTACAGAATTTTTAGAAGCCAAGGCATGGGTTGATAAGAGTTTAGTATTTACTCTAAATAGGGATGTTAATTTATTCGAAGTTACCATTAGGGTTTTAGGAGGTCTGTTATCGGCATATCATTTATCGGGTGATAAAGTTTTTTTAACTAAAGCTGTAAGTCTCTTCTGCGACTTTCCGAGGATAATCTTATATGATATTATAATTACATTTCGTTACATCACATTTGATAAGGTGATTTACAAACTATTACGGCTGCATAACCGTATGCTTCAAATATTGATTGTACAGACACAGCTAGGCGATCGTCTAATGCCAGCATTTTCCACTTCATCCGGAGTTCCGTATTCCGATGTAAATCTTGGTACCAATACCGCGCATAGTCCTAAATGGGGTCCTGACAGCAGTACCAGCGAAGTCAGTTCGATTCAATTAGAATTTCGAGATCTTAGCCGTAACACGGGGGAGCCGAAGTACGAGGTACGGTACTTGGAAACTAACGTTCTATATATATATTTATTCCGTTCTGTTCCACCTCGTTACTCTACCTGCACCAGCAAATTTGACTTTGTAACTTTGTAATATCGTAGGAAGCGGTAGCAAAAGTGTCCGAACATGTGCATCAGTTAGAGAAGTACGATGGTTTGGTACCTATATTCATTAACGCTAACACTGGCCAATTCAGAGAGTTTGCAACGATAACGCTTGGCGCACGTGGCGATAGTTATTACGAATATCTACTGAAACAGTGGCTTCAAACTGGAAAAACTATCAGTTAGTTAGTATCTAATGCGAACGTGTGCTTCGATAAAAGCATACACGCGTATTCTTTTTGTTAGTTTCGAGAATGCTTTGCGTGCGCCAGTTTAATCGAGTAACTCGTTTGAAAATATTTTCAGTTTGCGAGACGATTACTTGTTAGGCATTTCTGGAACTCAGAATCATCTGATGAAACAAACAGCGAGCAAAAAATATGTTTTCATCGCGGAACTAGTTGGAGCAGCGAAAGAAATAAAACCAAAAATGGTGAGAGTCAACGAATGCGAGCATTCGGATTGATCCAACGAGTCATTAATTGTATACACTCACCGTTTACCGTCGATCATTTACCATCGTATACCGACATCGATGACTTAAATTATTTCATTTATAGGACCATCTCACGTGTTACTTACCAGGTACTTTAGCTCTGGGAGTCCATCACGGTTTGCCATCCGAACATATGGATCTTGCGAATGAACTTATGAAAACTTGTTATCAAACGTACGCGATTCAACCAACGTTCCTCGCACCCGAAATTACTTACTTCAATATCCAGGTAATGTGTCGCTATTCAATGGGTACTTGTAATCACAAATATATCATAAATAATTTTCCATAGAATGCGGATGAAAAAAAATCGATGGACATGTATGTGAAAATACACGATGCTCATAATCTATTAAGGCCAGAATTCATCGAAAGTCTATTTTATATGTGGTACTTTACTGGAAACAAAACATTCCAAGACTGGGGATGGCAAATATTTCAGGTAGATGACCGTAAACGCAAATGTAACGAGTAATCGTAATCAAATACTCAACGGTGTTCCACTCTTTTTCAGGCTTTTGAAAATTTTACAAAAGTAGAGAAGGGCTACACTAGTATCGGCAATGTACGAAATATTCATGATATTCGACAGCAAGACATGACCGAAAGCTTCTGGTTCGCTGAAACTCTAAAGTACCTGTACTTGCTATTCGACGACACGAGGCAGTTAATAGATCTGGATAAATGGGTATTCAATTCCGAAGGACATCCGCTTCCTATATACGAATCGTAACCCGATTCCGTGAACTAGCGAACAAACTATACAAATCTCTACATTTTTAGTAGAATACTAGACCAAGTATTTCTCAAGGCCAGTCACTCGATCCAAGAACAGACCACTGGTCGGATCGAATTCGTCGTTTAGCACGATGGTTTTCAAACGTTACCACGTTCTTGCAAAATTTTTCTACCGCTTTATGCTACAACAACGAGCAGTCTTTGTAAATTACCAACTACTTAACCGTTTATACACAATTTTTTCTTTTCTTTTTTTTTCCTAATTTCCCAATTTAGAAGCGTGTATTTCTCTAATCGAACGTACTCTATTTTGTTTGCAACAAGTTCGCGCTATTCATACACGATATATTCTATAAATCGTATTTATGAAAAGTGTATCAGAATCGTTGAGTACAATCTTGTAAAATAGAAAATGCTCGATCTGTTATTTGTAGTCTAATGTAAACTCCTTTATTCTTTCTCTTTTAAAGACGCGTGTTCTCTGGAGTAACTGAAATTCACTGGATTTTCAGCGTAGTTTTTATTTATTGCACACACTTTCGTAGAAAAATATCAACAGGGAACATCGAAGCTTCTATCGTGGATAGTTTCAAGGCAGATGACAAAGGATCGGTCCATAGATTAAAATACTTTGTTCTTTACATTTTCTAAACGTATATCACATAAATGTATAGTTGCTTAATTTGTAAATAGCGCTTCGGACTGTGTACAGTTGTTAATATTTCATCTTAGGAGATAGAAACTTACGTGCGACATACGTTACGGTTTTGGAATAGCTGCCTTCTTTAACTAAATTGCTATTGCACAGAGTTTAATTTTCTTATTAGCTACTTTGAATTTCTACAAAATTAACCGATAAAATCCATTTCATCGCCGGACAGTAAATAGTAATAAATTAAGTAAAAATATTTGAACTTTACGATCGATCTATTAGCATAAAAGAAAAAAATATAGAGCAGTCTCAATATCTCCGAGATTCGTCTTGTATAAAGAAACATCTTTATTTACAAAAACTGTCGTAAATTATTTCTTTCTTACGTAGTGAAAATGTCTGAAATATACAAGTACGTATAATTAGAATGTACCGCGCGCGCGCGCGCGCGTCGAATGTAGTAAGGCAAGTGTCCCATTGCTATGTACATACGCTTTTAGAACATTATATCGGACATCCTTCGCCATGAATTTCGTTATCCAATCACGAGTAATAGAAAATATGTGGTTCAAACGTTTTCCAACCGTTACATATTACACGATTCATTTATATCTATATCTCTTTTAGATTACTCGATCGTGTTGCATTTGTATCGTCGCACAATTATTATATCGTATCGTATTATATTATATTCAAAAACATATTAGACATATTTTGTACCCTCGACGATCCTCGAACAACTTTCACCGGCACATTTTTGCTCTATATCGAGAAATTGAACATTTTGCTAGCAATATAGTTAGAAAATAAAGAATCGATCGATACGTAGATTGTTCGTTTTGAAAAATCTGGCATATTTTCGCTTTCAAAAATATCCTCGATTCATGCGTAATTCTCCGCCTTTTTCGGAATTTCTTTCCGATATTGTATCGCACATACATACATATACGTATTTCGAAGAATGTTACACCGTGTCGATAATTTGTGTAAATACATAGTCGCTGTAAAACGAACGACTGTATCGAAACACAGTGCTAGTGCTATGTCCTAAAGGCGAACGCGCCCCTATAAAATTGACACGCGTCGTTGGCAGTTGGGCTATTTTTTCACGAACTTCTTCTATCGGACGATATCGTATAAATTACAATTTTCGGATGGATGAAATTTCATGAAATTTCATGAAAGCTGTACACATCAACGTATGTATATACTCGCGTGTATTTACGTATAATATATACTCCTTGATCGGTCCTGGACGACGCGCAATGTACATAAGTAGTTCGATCCGAGTCCGTTAAGTCGATCGCGTCGATGCGGGGGGATTCGCGACTCCTCGTCTCTCTTCGACTCGCGAGGAAGCACCTCTGCGCGCAAAGATGGGTAGACCGGAAACACGAGAATTTCCTCTACATTAAACACAGAACTTTGATCTCTTCCCCATTGGCTTTTATAGATTTCGAAAAACTAAAAATATGCATCTTATAGTTGCTCGTAAAACTCGCTTGCAACGATTAAATTAATTTTACACTTTTGTTAAATATAAAGAAAAGGCTTGTTTTATTTCGAAATTTCTATACGAATTATTTGTTAGATCTTACGAACAAACTACATATTACTTTTTAGTAAAAATGTGAAGCGCACCGTCGATGCTGGCACAAACCGATTCGAATCGAACATCCGAACAAACGATCCGGTACACAGCAAGTACTTGCCTCGTTTAAGTTGTACTCGATTTATCGTTTTTTAAGAATAATAACAATAACGACGATCTATCGATTGGAAAGCTAGCAATTTTGTGTAATAAATAATTACGGTATTCCGAATCGAGTACGCGTTGTGCTATATATGCTACGTAACGGTTAGCCGGGGGTCGCGCGACGTATGTGTATGAATTATTGCTTCTGGGAAGCGTACGTTCGTTCGATAATACTCTCGATTCTACGTTACGATCCGAGCATCGCGTTACGCGTAGCTTCGAACGGCGAGCGACAGGGCAACTGAATTAAAATATCACGCATTCGCAACACTGCTGCGTGAAATAAATACAATCGACGACGCGAGAGTTGTCGTTGCGTTCAACGACGGATTTCATTTTGTCCGAGTCGATTCCGTTCCTCTGGATTCGAGAGATCCTCGGCTGGGTCTTCGTTCGCGAACGGCCGTCCGTTATCGACTCGAATTCGGGTCCGGATATCGATACAGCGACGGCACGCGCTATCGGGCCCGCGTCGCAGACGTCGTTCTCGATCGTTTCGGTATAATCGTCGATACCGGAAGCATCGTCGGTAGCATCGGAATTCAAAGTCAAAGCGAACGGTTTATCATCGGCCGCTGGACGCGCGCTAGGTGGTCTAGGTGCGGTCACCGAGTCGGTGGATTTGCCGAGGCTGTCACCGTCGCTGTCACCGTCGTCGTCGTCACCGTCACCGTCACCGTCACCGTCTTCGGCTCCGTCGCCGTAATCGTGCGCGCGCGCGTGCACGTGAGCACGCGCGCGACCGTACGCGTGTCCTTCCTCGGTCGTTGCATCGTAGTCCATCAGGGGTATAGAAGCCTGTAGCAACGTCGAATCGCTGGTCACGATCACGCTGAAAACAGAAAGCAACTTGAAATTCGTCGAAAAATTAGCCAACGAACGAGCGGTCGCGAAATCCGAACATGGAAGCACAGAGATATCGAAACGACGCAACTCCTACCGGCGCGAAGCTTCGTCGGGATCTCCTAGCGAACGAAGCGTGTCGTCCGGCTCGTTTTGTTCCCGACAATTTGTAAGGTTACGCGTTAATCGAACAAACGTTGAACCATAAACGAGACGGGGAAGGATCGTCGAAAGGCGCGAACCTGGACCGGTTAATCGGAGAACCGGCGAGAAACCGATGTTCTTTCCTTCGTTCGAATAACATTCGCGATACAACGTTTGCGAAGCATCGACGAGCCTATTCCGGATAAAAAGTGTTAGCAGCAAGACACGTACCACCTAGCCCTCGTACATGGTTGCGTTCTACTCATTTCCTCCGATGTCAGAGTAGCATAAAAATACATTTGCCTGTCCATTTGTTCGGAATCGTGTAGCTCTACCGTTTCGTTCGATCGATCAGACCGGTGCGGTTATCGAAGCTCCGAAACTCTCTTTCGAATTGTAGATCCTGCCGCTTTGGTTCTGCGAATCGCGCATCGCGCGTTCATCGTCCTCTTGTTTCATTCCAAGCGCACGCATCGACGATCACATATTTTCGGTTTAATCGCGATCCGGCACCGACATCGACATCGAACTAGGCACGTGGCAGAGTTTCGTTCGATCGTCGGAACAAGCATCGATTATCGATCGCCGACAGAGAAAACTCAACGACGGGGTTTGCTCTGGTCTCTTCGACAAATTGAAAAATTTCTGTTTATTGGGTCGTCTTCTTCTTGCAAGATCGGAGCGCGTTCGAAGGACGAGGAGGAAAGAAATTGGCTGTTCGCGCGCGGATACCGGTAAGAGGGGAAGAGAAGAAAAAGCGAACGGAGACGATTGGTTTTACTCGTGGATTCGCGCGAACGTCGGCCCGTGGCACAGGCTAACGTCGTTTTCAAGGAAAAAGAAACGGAGAAGACGAGAAAAGATTACGTACGGACGAATAAACCAAAAGAGTCGATTTGGACTCGCGATCTCGCGTTCCCACGAAACGCGTACAAATAGAATTCGAACGGACGATCGACGGTGAATCGATCGCGAGGCCGATAACGATGGCAGCTACCGATTAGAACACGTTCGTCGTTCGCGATCCGTTCGATTCTACGAAACGAAACACGGAGCCGAAACGACGGAGAATACCGTGCAGAATCCATGCGAGACTACCATCGCGCGCGTTGGCGGATTCGAGTTGCAACGAGATACGCGTACAACTGCCGCTAGGATAACTCGTACGATACGCGCGCGGTAAATAGATACCGATGGAAGCGCGCGCGCGCGCGGAGTCGAGAAATTTAACGCGGTTCGCGGTACCACGACAAAACTGACGATGTACGACCACGACCGAATTATCGGATCCGGCTAAAAAAAGAATCGGATCGTACGCGCGAATATCGCGTTGGATGAAATTACATCTACGTATTTACGACTTCCATCGCGACGCGTAGAAAAAGAGACTCGAATGCGCGATATCGTTTATCGTCGGTCCAGGTCTAGAGTCAAGGATCGCGAGCGAGCGAGCAACTCCGATTTTATACGCGTGTACGCGTTCGATCTCGGATCGCCGTTGCTTACGATGCAACAGCGAATTCGAATCGTCGCGCGTTCACGGTATTCGACGGTATCGCGGCGAGCGTCCATCCGAGAGTGGTAAAACGCTACTCTCGTCTCGGATCGCGATGGTCTACGGTCTCTCGAGTTGCTCCGGGAACGCGGGGTAGCAGTCGATGTCGGTTAGCTGCTCTCGCGGTACGAACCGGTTTCGTATCGCGAGAGCAGCCTTCCGCGAGTCACGCTGTCGTCGCGTTACGTATGTACGTACATCGCCGCGCCGGTAATACGCCGACGGTCGTGTCTCGTCTTACCGTTGTAATCGATTGGAACGAGAAATTGCGCGAGAAGGAACGATAACTCGAAGCTGCTCTCTCGTTGTCGGATGGACGTACTCGCCTTTGGTCGTTGCGAAAAAAACCTACCGACGAATGATTTCGGCGTATTCGACGACGATATCCTGGCTTTCGGAAAACAACCAACATTTCGAGATCGAGATCGACGCACGAGCGTAGATTATCGCGAGCGCGCGAGTAACAACTGGGTGCAGTTACCGCGACTATAAACGCCGACGGCCGCCACCGTGTTCAAAGTTCCGAGTCGAACTTGAAGAAGCGTCATTCTTTCCAACGGAAGTCGAAGAATCGCTACGATTTCGTAGAAATTGGAAGGATCGAACCGCGAAACGAAAAAGTTTTCGGTGTCGCGACCCGCGATACGACGCGACGCGCCACGACTCGCAACGAAACCGGTTTTTTTTTCGTACGCGTATCACGGTCACGGCAGTAACCCTTTCCCCGTCCAACTGTGCGCGCACGTACGATCGCACGCCTGTTCCAAATTATGCTATAAAACGTCGAACGATCGTTCGCGTTTCGACTCGTGTCGCATATCGGGTTTAAAATAAATATTTCTTCGACGTTTCCTCGCGAGTCGATCACCGATACGAAACGCTCGCATGCAACGACGACACCGACGACAGCGTCCACCGAGTGTCGGCGGCGTCGCTCGATGTATCGTTGCGTTACAAATGTCGATATCGGACGTTCGAATAGTAACGTTTGTAAACGGAGAAAACGTTGGGCTCGACGAGTATCGACGAATCTACGATAAAACATATTTGCGTTACAATATCGACGGACGCGTAAAAGGCAAACGACGAAACAAACGGTTCGGAACGGGATTCGCCGTAGGAGAAACGGTAGAACCGAGGGAAATATTCTTAACCTCGAAATCCGAATCGGTCTTGCTCCAACTTACTCGTAGGATCCACGTTGCGCGAATGGATTTTTAAAACGCATTGCTCCACGATCGAACGATCGATCGTCGAATCGACGCTCTCGACGAAACTTGCTTATATCGGATAACGATTGGTCGGATCGAAATTGCACAGCATCTTGTACGCAACGAGCGACAGGAACGCGACACAGGACACGCGAAAGCGAAACCACGAAACCGCACGAAACACTGTCTCTCTCGGCCTGTCCCTGCCCCTTGCTCCCTACACTCTACCGCCAGCCGCCGTGCGAATGCCGAACGGACGAGCGAATCGTACGTATGTACATCGGTAACGCTGGTGATGGCGATGGGATGGTGCGATGGCGGAGACGGAGGCGGAGGCAGAGGGGGGGGGGGCAGAGAAAAGGAAGAGCGAGTAGGTACCTGTGCGCGGTGCATGCACGACACGCAGAGACAGCTGGGTGAACGAAGCTCGACCAATTTTACGATAATACGTCAACAATTATGATCGATTACTCTGCTGTTTGCCCAACGAAAGCTAACCCATTTTCTATGATTCGCGTGAATTGCGAAGAAATCGCGATTAATTTTGCTTACGACCTGTACCTTTTGATAAATAATTTAATAAATAAGATCGTGTCTTACGTGTAGACAACTACGAGTTAATTCCGGTTCGTTCGTAACGTTGGCATACATACGGGCTATGGTATAGCGACTATGTAATAATAATCGTCTTTACGAGCTATGCATGTACGTACGTATGTACATCCATCGAACGCACGTGTAGACGCGTAGACTGCAGCGAGAGACTGCGTACGTAGGCTCTCGCGTCTCGATACGTTAGTCTCGTTCCATCCTTTAAAGCGCATAACCGAGTCAACGTGAAACCGGTTTTAAGGCGGTATGTAATAACCGTGTGGACTATGGACGCGAAACGAGGAACAAAAATTTTTCCAAATCTCTCGGCGTATAAATTACAAACGTACCTACCTATGCACCTATGTATCTGTGTTCGAATTCGACCATAGAAACCAATCGTAAATTTGTTTGTCCGACGATCGCGGTTTTCCATCGTTGGATAAAAAAACGAAAATCGAATTGAACGTAAACTCGAAAGTTACCTGTCAGACGTGTCAGGAATTTCTTGAGCGTAAACATCGGCACGCGTTGTAATCGTCCCGTCTCTCATCGTGGTTCGGTTGTCGCATCTCCAAAAAGGATGTTGCACCAGCAACGCTAACCGATCGTCCTGAAAGCGAAACAGCCTTGATTCGCGTCTACCGATTCGCGATTTCTCATAGCATTCCACTTACAGCAGCGCATCGGCGCAACCACCGTCTCTCCACCCCTGTTTCCTCTTATTACATTACGCGCATCGTCTCTCGCTCGCTCGCTCACTCCCCGGTCCGCATACTTATGTTCGCCGTTCAAGGTTGCTTCTACACGCGGCGCGATCGTTGTCACCTTTTGCTACGGCGAGTTTTTCCATAGTAGTTTATTTTCACCGTGTCGCTTTACGACATTATCTCTCTCTTCGTTTCATTGTAATGCATCGCTACACATCCTAGATAACGAGTCGCGCATAATAATTTCGTCGCGAGAAACGATACACGAATTGTTGAACGTATGCGCGACACCCACGCGACGTACACACACGAGTTCGATAGATGTCGGTAGTTAATAGCTGGTACGTATGTAGTACTCTTTCGTCGGCAACGTTATTCGTTTATTCCCGAAAGTATAGAATAAAAGATAGTTACCGCGATTTCGTAGGGAAGCACTTCTGCCGCAAGGAAACACACTCGTAGATTCAACTTGTCGAGTCTGGCAACTGTCGATGACAATGGCAATGGCAATGGCAATGGCAATGGCAATGGCAATGGCAATGGCAATGGCAATGGCAATGGCAACGACAATGGCAATGACAAAGTCAACGATAAAATGGCAACATTAGTAAATGACTGTACCGAACTGAACTCGGTCGGTTCAACTTTCAATCGACCGAATCTACATGAAACCGACTGATTCTGCACTGCATCGTGCTTCGTGTTCACTGTTGTCGACTAGTCAACCGTTCCACCACTACACGCTATGCTACCGTGCACTGTGCACGAACACTGCTCTGCTGCTGTGCACCAGTTCTCCGAAGATCACTGTAGCGTAGACTGTAGACCGTAGACCGTATCGTACTCTGCATCTGTATTCATCGAGTACGACGCCCGTGACGCCTCTCGCGGAGACAAGACGAAGCTCCGTTCGACGTCCGTACAGCGCCAATTGATGCAGTGGCAAAACACTCAAACTGTTAGCCAAAATCGACGGTCGTTAATTTGGCTAACAGTTTGGGCATTTTGCCACTGCATCAATTGGCGCTGTACGGATGTCGAACGGAGCTTCGTTGTTCCACCGATAGAGGCGCCACATATATACAATTTTAGGTCGTTTAAAAACACTGATTATGGCAAAAATACGGCATAAAAAACTAAATCAAGGACATAGAATTGTTCAGGGGAATTTGCTGCATCTATTTCGTGTAAGAAAATCAAAGGACAACGACGCAAAATACAAAAAATTAGTTGACATAATATATAACCAAACTTCAGAGAACAATTAATTACGTAATGTTGTTGTTTGTTTTTTTATGCTATATCTACCCAGTAGATTCTTCTGAACAGTTCCGCGTCCTCGGTTTAGTTTGCTATGCCCTAATTTTGCCATAATTAATGTTTTTAGGCGACCATGCATTCCGAGTGTGTGGCGCCTCTGTCGGAAGTACAACGGTGCTCCGTTCGACGTCCGTACAGCGTCAATTGATGCAGCGGCAAAACGCTCAAACTATTAGCCAAATTACCGACGGTCGATTTTGACTAACAGTTTGAGCGTTTCGACGCTATCCTAATTGGCGCTGCACAGACGCCGAACCGAGCTTTGATTTTTCTCCAAAGGAGGCGTCGCGAGTCGCAACCGCCCACATATGTCCAATGCAGATGTTGTTTTCAAAGTCTAAGATGCAAACATGCAAGGTACAATTGACGTATCATAGCCTGTTTTCTTGCATTCATTTGCGTTTTCAAAAATTTAAGTATCACCACTGTAAGATCGCCTATATCTAGAAATTTGTTATTTAATTTCTTTTTTAAACCATACGAAACGCGAAACATGTCGTACATGTATGTATATGCATACGTAAATACGAACGAACGAATGCGATTTGCGAAATGTGCATACGAATGTGTGCGTATGTGGAACATTTTTAGCCGGTGTTGCGCATGCGTTGAACTTTTACGACACCCTCTTCCGTTCACACAATTGTGTTGTCCGCGGTGTAGAAGCCGCTTTCATTTGCGTCTTCTGATTGGATTCAAGTTTTTCAAGGTACTACATGGTATCTCGCGGCTTTTTTTTTATGTTTGAGTAACTATTGTTGCTACATATTACTATTGCAAGTAGTACACAACATTTCGGTAAAAGAAGAACGAAAACGAGGAGAAATTGAATATGGGTCGCTATAGAAGGTAAGCAGCGAAGCACGTATATACGATGCTTTGGAGTACGTACGTGTTATCAATATGCTCGACGTATTTGCTATTAAACGCGTACATCTTGGAAAAATTCTAAAGATTTCATCGAAATGCGATCGCTTCCACGCTTGTGTACGAAAGAACGCGTAACTCCGAATGTAGTATTTACCGGGAATTCTCTCGTTGATGTCTAGTCGATCGATTTTATATAGAACCTCCTACGCTTCTTTGACTCTGAGTTTGATAGAAATCTCTCCAGAGGAGTCCTGCATCGAGCTAGAAGTAGAGAGATTCGCACGAGTCGAGATCATAGTAGTATAGAGTAATGAAAAACTAAAAATAATCTGTTTACTATAATTGCGATGAAATCAATTACAGTCGGAGCCGTGATAGAGACAGGAGACGCAGATCCCGTACAAGGTCTCGAAGCAGATCTCCACGAGACAGAAGAAGCTGGGGAGGTAGTGGCGGTCGAGATCGAGGCGGTGGCAGAAACAGTCGTGGCCAGCCTGGAGCAAACTTGAGGAAACCTCGGTGGGATCTGAGTAGATTGGAACCCTTCAAGAAAGATTTTTATATACCGCACGAGTCGGTTCAAAATCGTGACCTTAGAATAGTGGAGCAATACAGAAGCGAAAAAGAGATTACGCTGAAAGGAAAGAATATACCTAATCCTGTGTTTACCTTTGAAGAGACAGGCTTTCCGGACTACGTTCTGAAGGAGATCAAGTAAGTACGGATATATATATATATATATACATTTAATATTCTAATCGGTTCCACGTTTAAACACTGCTGTTCGTTCCTTTCAGGAGGCAAGGTTTTACCGAACCAACGTCGATCCAAGCGCAAGGATGGCCGATCGCTTTGAGTGGAAGAGACATGGTTGGAATCGCGTCGACCGGCTCCGGAAAAACATTATCTTACATATTACCGGCGATCGTACATATCAACAGTCAACCTAAATTGGGTCGCAAGGATGGACCTATCGCGTTGGTGTTGGCTCCTACCAGGGAGCTCGCGCAACAAATTCAGCAAGTCGCCGACGATTTTGGACATTCGTCCGGTATTAGAAATACTTGTTTGTACGGCGGGGCACCGAAGGGAGCGCAAGCTAGGGACTTGGACGGTGGTGTGGAGATCGTGATAGCTACGCCGGGTAGACTGTTGGATTTCCTGGAATCCGGTCGTACAAACTTGAAAAGATGCACCTACCTGGTACTGGACGAGGCGGATAGAATGTTGGACATGGGATTCGAACCACAAATTAGGAAAATTATCGAGCAAATTCGACCAGACCGGCAAACGTTGATGTGGTCTGCCACGTGGCCTAAAGAAGTGAAAAATTTAGCCGAAGATTTCTTAAAGGATTACGCGCAGATCAACGTCGGTTCCCTGCAATTGGCTGCCAACCATAACATATTGCAAATCATCGACGTTTGTCAAGATTACGAAAAAGAGAACAAGTACGTTATTTTGGTACATCGTATCGGCGTTTGCTCGAATTCGTATCTAACGCGTTCGTTCGCTTCTTTCTTTGTTCTATTCGTAGATTGAGCACGCTTTTGAAAGAAATAATGGCGGAAAGCGAGAACAAAACGATAGTGTTTATCGAAACGAAGCGCAGAGTAGACGAAATAACTAGGAAAATGAAGAGAGACGGCTGGCCTGCTGTTTGCATACACGGTGACAAGACGCAACAAGAAAGGGATTGGGTTTTACAAGGCAAGTACCGCGGAACTCGAATCGTCGCGATAGTCGTTTAAAAGGCGGTATTATTTTTCAGATTTTAGATCCGGAAAAGCTCCGATACTCGTTGCAACAGACGTTGCTGCTCGTGGTCTTGGTAAGTAAAATATTTGTTGCGATACAATGAAATTTTAAGATCAAGCATCGTTGCTCGTTTTCCTTTGGTACGGAGAATGAGATATTTAACGAATATAACGTTGCCTCTGTAAATCTTGTTTGCGTTCAATAATTGCTGCGGTACGCAAGATATTTTGTTCCTGCATTTTTTGAAAACTGTTACCTCATGTACTTTCACGTTACCGGTGTAACAGCGGTGATAGACGGTAGACGCGAGCGTACAGTGCGATTACACGGAAATTCGATACGAAATATGTGTACGCACGTACATCGTTCGTCTTCGCGTTCGGATATCGGACATGGAACAAGGTTTCGTTGCGTACGCGTTCTTATAGAGACTTTGGACCACTTTATGTGCCGAAACGGTAGTACGATCACTCGATAACAAGCAATCGAATCGCCGGTAGCAAACCACTCGTATATACGAAATATGTGCACAATATGTACTGTATTTTTAAAATTTATTTATTTGTCCATTTAGTTGCTTCTTCTCTTTCGTTTTTGTTACATTTCCGATGATTTACGTTTCGAGTAAGGTCGATAGCGTTTTTCAAACGCGGAGTAGGAGACTAAGATTATTTTTTGTTGCGAATCCGTTCGAATAAAAAGTTGCGCGCAAACGATCTTCCAAAAGCATAACGTGGTTCATTCGCGATGATTCTAACGTTCGAATAATTGAAACGCGAGAATTCGAGAAAACTTTCGAGAAATGATCAGAGAATTATAAATAATAAGTTGTTCGATCGATTCGTAAAATAACAAGGACGCGATGGTCGATCGAGAAAAAGAAAAGAAAGAAAGAAAGAAGGAGAACCGTGTGTAAATTCCATCGTTGTAAATTCTAGTTTGTCGAAATTGGCTCGCGATATCGGGAACTCGTGGACGGGACAAGGTCGGAAACCTATCGATGCTCGGTCGAACATGGTCGACGGAAAACGAACGAAAGTGAAAGAGAGAGAGAGAGAGAGAGAGAGAGAGAGAGAGAGAGAGAGAGAGAGACTGGTAAAGGATGGGGTGGGAGTTTTTGGGTAGAGTTTCGTCGAAACGCGAAACGAGATCGAACTGGTAACGAGAACGAGAGTGGTAACGGGACAGGGGTAGAAGGTAGATGGAGAAGAGAAACGATGGGGAAAGGGGTAGAGAGAAGGGAAGTAAAAGTATAATAGAAAATTGATATATTGATCAACACAGAAAGCCATCTAAGCGAGCATGTAGCTAACGCGGTTGGATCTTTGTTTGTATTGCAGAGGCACATTGCGCGCAGGCCCACGCCGGGTAATGCAAAGCAAATTGGGGGTGCCCGCCGCCTGTTTGTTCGGTGGTGCACTGGTTTGCATTGTCTGCGCTGGCTGCGACGCGTGCCTCTATACGTCAATTCCGTGAAGGGCCAGTCTGGGCCAAATCGGGATCTACTTTACCTCCTACATACTGGATATCAGTTCTACGCTACGCTGTACGCCATCTGGGCTGGCCAAGTCGTTGTTGCCAGAATAGAATCCCCTGCGCTGGCCGCTCAAGCTAATCAGACCCAACAACGGTCCAATGAGGCGGTGGCATGGTAGCTGATGCCAGAGCCTCTCTAAGCGTGCCCTGTAGCAACAGAGTGGCGGAGGCTGTAGCTGGAGCGAGCGCAAACAGCCAGGCCCTGCCCGTACGTTGCTAGCGACACTCACCCACTGCCTAATTTTAGTATAACAGTAATCTTCAATTCATTGCTGTGTATATA